CACACACACACACACCCACACACACACACACACACACACACACACACACACACAGACTCTCACACTCACAGACTCTCCCACTCACTTACACACACACTCACATTAGGGCTGTGCGATTTGGGGAAAAATATCAAATTGCGCTTTTTTTTGACAGATATTGCGATTGCGATTTGATTTGCGATTTTAAATTTGCAAAGTCAAGCTTCAGCTCAATATTGTCAATAATGTGCAGCACAGTATGGGTATCATTACCAGACAGACTGGATGATGATCAGATCAGATCTCTGTGTGGAGCACTGGCTGTTGTCAGACTCCTTGTGCAAACAAACATCTCACTGCATTATTACAATTAATGGCAAAATGAATGCTTGGAAATGTAAACTGATATTTCCTACAGACACATTACAGCAAAAGATAGAAATAACGGACTTAAAACCATTTTTTTAGCTGCTGAAAATACTAGCGTTCTAATAATTTTGGTCACCACTGAATACACACACACACACACACACACACACGCACACGCGCTCACACGCTCACACACACACAGACTCTCACTCACACACACACACAGACTCTCACACACTCACTCTCACACATACACACGGACTCTCACACACTCACACACACAGACTCTCACACACACAGACTCTCACACACACACACACACAAGTTTATTTTTGTGAAAAGTGGGGACATCCCATAGGCGTAATGGTTTTTATACTGTACAAACTGTATATTCTATTGCCCTACACCAACCCTACTCCTAAACCTACCCCTTACAGGAAACTTTGTGCTATTTCAGATTTTCAATACACTCCATTCTGTGTGATTTATAAGTGTTTTGAAAAGTGGGGACATGGGGTAATGTCCTGAAAAGTCACCTTCTCCTTGTAATACCTGTCATACCTTTGTCATTATACAAATTTATGTCCTCATTTGTCACAAAAACGCGCGCACACACACACACACACACACTCTCTCACACACACACGCTCACACACACACACACACACACA